TTTTTTTTTTTTTTACTTTTTTAGGCAAAATTAGTCATGGTTCAATGTCATAGCAATTGTAGTCCCAATTAGGTTCCAACTTTTCGCCTTTTAGTCATGTGATTTAGTATTTTGCTACAATTTCAATGCAATTTCAATCCTTAGACGACTGAATTGCAATAAAATTTTAAATTACAGGACTTAGATTGCTACAAAAAAAAAATCTATCCCAAAGATATAAATCGAGAATTTGTTGAAATATCAATTCTGAAATGACTGAACTTGCAGGAAAATATTAAATTATTAAATTACAGGACCAAAAGGCGAAATGTTAGAATCTTAAAACTAAAATTTGCTATGACGTCAAACTAACCAAGACTAAATATGCCAATTTGCCTTTTATTTTATCTGAAAATGATCGATTTTTTCGACATGCAGGGTCCCGTGCGTGAAGAAAGGAGGGATTAGGTTTACGATGAACGGTCACCCGTATTTCAACTTGGTCCTCGTAACGAATGTAGGTGGGGCCGGTGACATACACAGCGTGTGGATTAAGGGTTCGAGCACCTGGCAGCCCATGACCCGAAACTGGGGGCAAAATTGGCAGAGCCACTCGTATCTCAACGGTCAGACTCTCTCGTTCAGAGTCACCGCTAGCGATGGCCAAACCCTGACAGCCAACCGTGTCGCACCCAACAACTGGCAGTTCGGAAAAACCTACGAGGGTCCACAATTTTAGTTTCAGACATATTGACTCAAGCAGCCAGGCAATATATGTATTTTGTGGACTACTTGTTTAATTGCAATAAACCTGTCCGTTATGTTATGTTACTTGTCATGTTACAAGTCCACACATCATCATAAGTCTAAAAGAATATAGATTTATTTACTGCATTATTCAAAATCACCAAACACCATCTCAGTATTTCAATCACAACAAAAGAAGAGGGTAAAATAGTAAAATCAGTAATTGAGCAAAGAATACTTCACCTCACCACAATCCTCCCTTTCTCCACGCCGAGCTTACCTCCCGTGACCAACCAGTGGCCAGGCGGGTCCTCCGGGCCCTTGCTAACTTCCGACATGTCGACGAACAACTGATTTTGAACAACTGATTACGGACGGTCTGATTTTTTTGATTTCGTGACTCAGCTTCAAAGCTTGTGAGCTGAATTTGAAGGTTATTTATTATTTATTGACAATTGATTTTGAGATTGGAATTCAGCAACTCTCGCGTATTAAGACATCGATAGGGTTCGACATTTGATCAATCGAGCGTGGAGTTATTTTTAATGAGTCAGACAAATAAGTTTAAACCCGACAGATTTGTTAATATTATGATCAAAGTTGAACTCAGGCCTTAACGAGCTATTAAAAATTACATAAGGAATTTTTATGTTCGAGTCATAACGAATCTAACTCACGGACGGCTAATTTTGTTTATAGCTCTAAGACATTATAAAAAAAAAAGCATATCGTTAGTGAAACAAAATTGGGGGTTAAATTGAATTAAACTGTGACTACCTATTCGGTAAATTTGACCATTTTTAAGCAAATTTGACTATTTTTTATCATTCCATCACACACACTCACACATACCCGTGCAGATTCAATAATAAATATGTATACGAGTATAAACTTGTCACTACTATAAACACACTTGCATTATATAAACACACACCTTCACAAGCGACCATAAAAAATAAAATAAAATAAAATAAAAAATAAAATAAATCCAATTTTTACATGCCTTTTTATCTATCTCCAAAGGGCTACCAAATATTAACTGCATTTCACCACATTCATGAAAAAAAAAAAAAAAAAAAAAAAAAAAAAAAAACCAATCCTGCAAGCACAACTCGCAAGGAAGAAGGGAAAAAAATGGCCATAGAACAGCAAATTCCTTTAAAACCTCAGATCAAAACGACGGACAAGAACAGGAGAAATGTTCGGCAATTTCATCAGATTCTAGCCACAGAAAAATATAGTCGAGTAAGTAGATTTACATGGGTCGGTCCTACAATGAGATGGCATACTAATTTCCCTTTTTTTTTTATTTTTTTGTTCACTCGTCTCTACAGATTTCAAGCAACAAACACCATTTTCTATCACTCACAAGTGTTCACCATATGCCACGAAAAGCGAACACCATGAACCTGTAATTAACCTACTGTATATATCACCTTTTTTTTTTCAACTACGAGTTTATGGCCTTCTTTGTAGCAAAAAGTTGGCGCAAGAAAGCAAATCTCCCCTTTGCCCGTGTGGAGAACTCGATGATGGCTCCATTTTTCGTCAGCTCCTGCTCGGACAAGTTGGCTTCTGGCAAAGATGGCTTGAGCTTGAAAAGAAACTCATTGAGCATGCGAATGATCTGACTGAAGCTGGGCCGCATATTGGGATCCTCGACCCAGCATGACTGGATTATGTAAGCAAGCTCAGGTGGAGTATCTTCCGGAAGGCTAGGCCTTTCTTGCTGCATTTTTACAAAGTCACAGTTCACATAAACCTTCTTTTTTTTTTCAGTCAATTTTCACAAGTTCAAGATAGAACCACATGAAAATGTACTATTTACATTCTATTAATTGCTCCCGATTCTAGTTCTGGTTAGTTTCTACTCATTCAGGTTAGAAACACAAGTCATTGCTCCTGATCACTGCCTGTTTCAACTGTTTCTATGAGATATCTTGAAAATTTAAGGGCATAGCTCTACATTTTGAGTTTTACCTTGAACGTATAATAGTACCTTAAAAGCAGCAGCGTAAGCAGCCTGCAAATTGGACATCCCCTCGAATGGCATGCGGTTAGTTAGTAGTTCCCATAACACAATCCCGAAACTATAAACATCAACTTTATTATTGTAGTGCTTTTTCTCACCCTGACGAAGCGTAACGGTACTGTATAACTGCAGATTTTTCCATCCAAATTGTTGGTTAAGGCCATTTCAAAAGCAGGTCCCCGTATTCAACACAGAGTACATATAAATATGCATTTTTTTTTTTAATTATCGTGAAGTTAATAATAATAATAATAATAATTATAATAATAATAATAATAATAATAATAATAATAATAATAATAATAATAATAATAATAATAATAATAATAATAATACTGGAAATCCGAAACCTCGGGTGCCATCCAGCGGTAGGTCCCGGTTTCAGCAGTCATCATTTCAGTGACAGTTTCTTCTCTCGCAAGACCGAAATCCGCAAGCTTCACAGACTTCTGGTTCTCCGTAAGCAGCAAATTGTCTGAACAAGAGTATTATAATTCAAATCATTTTCAGAGAAGCAAATTCCTATTCAAATAATTTTCAGAGAAGCAAATTCCTACATTAAGCTATTATTCCGTAAGAGAAGAAAAAGAAGCATGCGAATACTGCCCCCACAGGGTATTGTAACATTAAATATTATAGATCAGAAATCAACGGTTGGAAGTGAAAAATAAACATCTACATGTTATACTTGTATAACAATGCAAATGAAAAATAAATAAATAAATAAATAAAATTGCACTAAGACAAAGGGAGATATATTCGGTACTTTTCAATTTTCACGAATGACGGGCATAATCAGTTTAGAATTTACATATTGAGGAGAACAGGGCAGGGTCTATTCTGAAAATATTGCAGCCCACAAAATTACCAGGTTTTAAGTCCCTATGTATGATGCCATTTGCATGTAAGCAATCCATTGCTCGGGCAATATCGAGAGCAAAATTTAGCGCAACAGGCAGATCCAACTGGTTAGGACGTATACTGCCCAGATACTTTCTAAGAGACATGCCCGGCAATAACTCTGTAACTATCACCATTAGAGGATCTTTGCAAGCTCCAATAAACTGCAATAAAATTTTCCACACGGTGAGTTAAAGCAAGAAGTTAAGAAAATCTAGCAACATCAACAATCTTTATCTAGAAAACCATCACGACATATAAATATAAATCACACATTTTCAAACAGGCACCTTGACAAGGTTGTCATGCTTTACTTTAGACATCATCATGACTTCACGAACAAAACGACTCTCAAGGACTGATCTCTCTTCCGATGTACTGCCACAGTTAAGAACTTTAATGGCAACAATACGGTCGCCATACCTGTTACAACAGGTTGATTTGCTATTAAATAATCGTAATGCAGCGAACGAACGTCAAACAGATCACTGGTATCATTCAAATTATCATCTGAATCTAAGCAAGATCAGAACGTACTCATTTTCCTTTATTTTTTCCCTCCCTCTATGGGTATAGATTCAAACTTCAGGTTAGGTCTCACATTCAAATAGAATAAAATAGGAAATAAATGAGAAACTGTAGTGAGATATGGTTTAGCACCAGAAAGAGACATATCATTAAGACATACCATCTCGCACTATAGGCAATTATACTATATTTTCTTTTTCAATCATTTTCCTTTTTTTCCCTTTTAACAGCAGAGGGATTCACGCAATAATAAGAATTCCACGCTTCATACAGCATACAACAAAAGCTACGCTTCAAATGATTCTAAATGCATATAAGGTTTCAATGTATGCAATATCATTGATGAACTCATTAATTAGAAAAAATGATAGCAATAATTTGAACTCAAAAAAATTATTACAAGCCAAAAATTAACATACTAACCTTCCTTGATAAACTTTACCATGAGCTCCCTCACCAATTTTCGACCCGATAAAAAGGGACTTGGGGTCAACAAGAACTCTCTCATCAATGCATAAATCCACAGGGGCAGTGCTCGGTCCTTTGGAGGAAACTGCTTCAACCGATTTTCGGCCAAGACTCCCGTTTTCAGCCTCGTCCCTTTTCCCTTTGCTCTTACCACCAGAACTCATAGCTGTTGCCCCACAATCCCAGCCCACCCGACCCCTCTAAATTATCCCCGAGCGCCTCATCAAAAACACTACAGAAAATCCATTTACTTCAGAAGAAAAAGCATCACCTTTAGAATCCCAATAACAGTCAAACTGCAAACATAAAACACACAATTTCAGGTCAAATACACACAAGCATGCGGAACTGTTCACCATGAACTTCAATTAACCACGAACAACTAAGCTACAGCATGAACTTCAAAACCCACATCAAGATTCACCATGCACAATTTCAGGTCGAGCTCCACAACAGTTCAACAGGAAAAAAAAAAAAA